CAATCAATAAGCTTTTGAGAGGTTTGTTGGTGATGGCATGCTCTTGAAGACTTTTTGTTGATGGTATTTTTAGCATTACTAGACTTTTGTTGAGAGTAGAGGTGTGCTAGATTGGGATATTTCCTTTGACTTGGAATATTAATGTTTGGGAGGTTGATGAATTGACTTCCTTGCTAGCCATTCTCCAATGATAGAGATCGACCCATGTGGATGTTGAGGAAGGATTGTTCTTTTACTGTGAAATCGTTCCGTCTCTATTTCTTGGCACAGAATCAGGTTGCAAGTGGGTTTTGTTGGAAGCAAATATGACAGATGCTTTGCCTCGTCCTTTATAGACTTTTCTTTTTCTTGCATGGGAAGCAACTTGGAGCCAGATTCTGACAATTTGCAATGGCAAAATGATGAGAAGACACATAATACAACTAGATACTTTCTTGGTTCAGAGAGAATGAACCCTGTAATCTTTACTTTTTATGGTGTGAAAGCTACAGAAGGCTGCAATCCCTCAATCTTCTTGTTATCATTTGTTCTGTTGGCGGAGGTTCAGTAGCAGACAAGCAGTTGATGTGGATGGTCTGAACATGGATGAAGCTAACCTCTCTCATTCCATTGGTTATTTGTTGGGTCATTTGTAAGGAAGTAGTAGAATAGCTTTTTAGGCATTTAATCTTCTTTTGATATAATGAGAAATAATTGGTTGCATCACCATCATGGTATGATTATTAATCCAAATGTAAGCACTAGTCTAATGAAGAGAAAATGAGTCCAAAAAGTCTACAGGATGGACTCTTCTCTTTGACTGTGTTTGGAGTGCCTTGGCAGCATCATTGTCACAGCTTCTAAATCTGTATTTTGTTCAAAACTCATTATCTTCTTGATGGAAAAGATATTGGGGATTTTGTAGATATTTGTTTCTAAATTTCTTTACATGGGTGTCGCCCCTTGGTGTCTTGTCAATGAATTTTCTTTTTCTTTTCAAAAAATAGTGCTTCCTTCTTAATGGGGTTCTTCTTAGTGGAAGGTGTACATTTGTAAATTTTTAGAAATCTAGCAATGGTATTAATTTTATAAGTTGCTGAGCATGTTGTTACTTTGCGTATATAATTTTTTTCTTTCCTTTAGAAGTGATAGATATAGAGTTTCTATCTAATATTCAGCTCTGATAGACAAAACAACTGTTTGATGATATAATGGCTGAAGCTGTATTTTTGTACATGTCATGTTTGCTTAGTAACATGTATGGGAAGACAGCTCAAAATTGTTTGCATAAGAAAAATAGCAGTTTAATTGTTTTGAGGCCTTCATGGCTTCACCATAGAAGCTATTTATCTGTTTTCAGAGTCATTTCTTGCTCATTACCGCTTTGATTGAGATTTTTTTTTCTAAACATTTAAACTGTGTTTGGTTTATTTCTCATTTAATTTTAATTTTAACCATCATATTAGTCTCAATAAGCATAACTAGAACATAATTTGTTATGTTTGATTTACCATTGTTCCATTTTGAATTCTTTGATGCTGGACTTCCAAACCGTAGTCAAAGGTATAAATTTAGTTTTCACCATTAAAGAATTGAAGGTGGGGATGTGTTAATTCAGCACAGTTAATTATATTCTGACTATGTATACTAATGTGATAATTAGTAATATGAGAATTAGAACTAAGAATTGGCTAGTAATTCAATGTAAAATGAACCAAAAGCTACCTTAATGTTTCCTATAATTTATTGGGTTGCTGACTGCCGATATTCATTTTGAACAATGGTTTTCTTTTTGGAAATAGTGGCTGTTGGAGATTTTGATTGAAAAACGGTGGATGTGGATATCTTTTTGAAACCTGTTTTCATTTATAGAATGAAAACCTGTTACTAAAACTTGAGTAATTCTTACCTGCTTTGGGTTTTCCTCCCACTTCAATCATTTTATTTTCTTGTTTTCATTGTATAATTAAAGAAGTGGTCCAATATAGATTGTTTTTAAGTGTTTTTTGTGATTTTCATCATACAATGCCACTTGATTTCTTGTGTAGCTTTATCTTTGGTTTTTCTCCTTGTATATACTATTTATTTATTTATTTTTTTCGGGGATGAAACTTGTGTGTGCTATTTATATAGTCTTTTCAAGTTCTACTCTGGCATATGAAAACTTAAAGGGAAAAATAGCTGGTGAGGCTGAGGTTCTGCCTGTCTTTGCTGTCAATATGTTTCTTGTGACACTATAACCAAATTTGATCTTTTTGCATGCTATTACTCCCAGGATGTTCATGAAACTGCAGCAGGAGCTCTTTGGAATCTTGCTTTCAACCCTGGAAATGCTCTCCGGATTGTGGAAGAAGGGGGAGTTCCTGCACTTGTCCATCTCTGTTCTTCGTCAGTGTCAAAGATGGCGCGTTTCATGGCTGCATTGGCACTGGCATACATGTTTGATGGGAGGTACTTTATTGCCGCTCCAGTGTGTAATTCTCTGTAGTTCATTTTCCATCTATATTACGGTTAAGCCTTTTTTCATTCATTTGACAACAACTGAATTTGTTATACCTAGTAGGAGGGGATTCAAAAGCTAGAATTAATAGTTCCAGGGCTTGTGATAACACCAGAAGAAGGTATCTAATTTTGTTAGATGGTCTTGTGTCTATGTTTTCTATGATAAGAGAAAGACGGCTTCAGATTTTGAAGGTCATCCTCGTAAAATTAGAAAGGATCTTAGGAACTGCTAGATATTTGGCTTATCTTTTAAATTTTATACTTGTGTACTTAGGTGGCACCTCTGTGACACTTGTTGTCTATAATATCTCTTTTTTACCCAAAAAAAAACACGAGAATAAAGGCTCAACTGCATCATAGTCAATGCAAAATGTAGTTGAACTGATAGTTATGTTGTTTTGAGCAATAAACAGTTTATTACACTTAATTATGGTTTAATTAAAAGAACATCTCTCTTATATTTGAAACACTTTTCTGCATGTATATACTTTGAATTTGCAATTATTTTGCAGAATGGATGAATTTGCTCTGGTAGGGACTTCATCAGAGAGCATGTCAAAGAGTGTGAGCTTAGATGGTGCTAGAAGGATGGCCTTGAAGCACATTGAAGCTTTTGTGCTTACATTTTCTGATCCTCAAGCATTTGCCACAGCTGCAGCATCATCAGCTCCAGCAGCACTAACACAAGTTACTGAGAGAGCTCGCATCCAAGAAGCAGGGCACCTCCGATGCAGGTACCTCTCTCTCTTTCTCTTCCGCTATTTTTTACACAGACACAGATTCATGAAATCTCCATTTGGTTAGCCATCCCAGATAATCACATTTTCTGTGCCAAACGCCCAAGTAGTTTACTGCTCTGACCCTTTGAAGTTTTAAAATGAAATGAATCATTAACCTACAAGATAAGCATCAATGGTATAGTTTACTGATTTTCTACATTTTCTTTGGAAGTACAGTATCAGATCTGGCCTTCTGAATCAGGACAAAAAATTATTTAAAGAAGGGGGCTTGATGTGCACGTTTGTCTAACGTGGTGTATATTTCTTGCATGATTCTTGACATTTATGCTAGAAGAATAATTTAGGATAAACGTGTTATTGAAATCAACTCCGTGGATCATAAAAGATCAGATTTGGAGGTACTAGTGGCATGTGAAATTACCCTCTAGTTTAGCCCGCCTTTTAGTTTGTTATTACATACCTGGATTACATTTCTAAATAAACAAGCACATCAACTAGTACGTGTCAATGCACAAACATGTGCAGTTAGAGCTTCTCACAAGAGCAAAATGTAAATAAATTATGTTTGTTCTGTTTATTCTTACCATATGCGCTTTCTCTGTCTGCTTTCTACACTCTCTTCTTACCATATTCTTGCAAGAATATGTTTATGTATATTTTGGGTCGTTTTTACTTGTAAATCTTCAAAAGGGTAAAGCTACATGTACAAAGTACTCAAAACTTTATGAACTGATGCAGCAGCTGAGGTAGACACTCTTCTTCAATTAAACTAATCAAATAATATCATCACGATAGTTGCAAATTCAGCTTTTTATATAAATTTGTAAAATTCTTAACAGTAGTATTAATCTTTTTCGAATTTTTAGCTCTTTTCCCTGGCAGGATCTATTTTACATGCAACAAAAGGAGTACATTTTGTCAGAAAAGTGCAATGCTGGTAGTTTTTAGCTCTTCCCATTTGAGCAAATATTCACTTTTGTTTCTATATTCCTCAGTGGAGCTGAAATTGGGAGATTTGTGGCGATGCTACGAAATCCTTCTTCTATACTCAAAGCATGTGCTGCTTTCGCTCTTCTCCAGGTAATTAATAACATTGAGTCTCTTCGGATGTCTAAAGCTTGTGTGAGCACATTTCTTATGAAAGGGCAAAGATAGCTGAATTTTTTCTTGAAATAAGCAAAGGTGGCTGAATTGATTGAAGAACTTTCCCTTGGGTATTTTCAAATTGCAGTTTACAATTCCTGGTGGTCGGCATGCCATGCATCATGCTAGCCTTATGCAGAGTGCTGGAGCAGCAAGAGTACTCCGTGCTGCAGCTGCAGCAGCAACTGCCCCAGTTCAAGCTAAGATCTTTGCAAGAATTGTACTCCGCAACCTTGAGCACCACCAAGTTGAACCCTAAAATCAGATCCATCAGGATTACTGTCTCAGAACAGAGCAGGGCCTGATTCATGGAAGTACATTTTTAACCATTCTATTGGTCAGTAGCAGTGCTAGAGAAAATTCTGAAGAATATCTTACACTGTAGCCTCTGTGAGATCTGAGTGCGAGCCCTAGAGAAGAGAAGTTGTTGGATATTTAAAGTGGTTCTGTAACATGCGAAAGGTACTTACAACGAGGCGTTGATGCCAAATCGAATGTCCTCATCAGTTTTCATATTTGTATTCATCATGACAAAAATGTTCTATATAGTCATAAATATTGAAGCTATTTGGGATTGCTAGGCATTATCTGTTTTGTTGTAGTGATTACTACAGGTGAAATTAATAATAATTGTTTTTTTTTATTCATCAACTTGGATGCTGGATGTGTGGTTATCCGGACATCATTGAGGTCATCAAGACTTACACAGAAGTTTCGTTTTCCTTGATTGCATAGTCGAAGTTCTGTACTTGTATTTGCAACGGATGTTTCGATTGGATGGACTGGTAAAGTGTTAGAATCACATATATTACACACACACACAAGCTGGAGGCTAATGCACATTTTTTTGAAATGCACTTTTCTTTTTTTTTTTTTTTTGAAAAGCTGAGAACCTTAAACCATATAGATATCCATACTTCCAAAATGCAGATATATAAATAGCCTTTTAACTCGTAAATATTCACACTTCCAAAAAGCAGAGAGAGAAAAATTGATATCTTGGCACATCCATTATTCAATCTAGTCACACTCCTTTCCCTCCCCTAATTCTGGTAAAGCAAAAAATATGGGAGCAGGATGTTCTGTATAGGCTATGGACCATTGGACTCAGTATTATTAAAGAAAATTTTCTACACTTATGGCCAAGGACTTATCAGATAGCTTTGTTGTCGCAACTCCATGGGGAATTCCTCAAAATTTTTTTGCTCTCTTTCGGCCAGAGAAGGAGGAACTTGGAATGAGATCCATTTTAGATAAATTTGGTAGATTTGGACATTCGCTGGGTCGTATTTTTTGCTTGGGAAAGCAGCAATAGAGTGTATCTTAATTTCGGGATAAAATTGATGAGGGGAAAGATATGTTTCTCGTGTATATAAAAGATAAAGTCATGTAATTATATGTTTCTCGTATAAATGGGAGATAGAATCGTGTTAGCACATGCTCTTATGGTTTCCATTTGGTTTATCATCTCTGCACTTTTAGCTTACGATAATTTGAGGATTAGTTGGGTGATAGCAGGTCCTGTGAGGGAAGAGATTCGGGCTTCAGATGGTGTATAAAATGATAAGTTATCTTCAAGACTTATTTGGGTGCATACTTCTTGGATAATTTGGAAGGAAAGATATATATATAAAGCAATTTGGTAGATCAAGGACTCATGGTTTCAGACCTTAAATTTTTTTGTCCAAGGGTCATCCTTCTTTATTTTTCGTGAGGATTTATGAGATTTACAAATTTTTTTTTGGTCAAATATATAATGATTCATACATACGTTTCCAATAATCCTTTAGTGAGCAAAACATTTCTGGTCCAAAATTGATGTCTCCGGAGTCCATTTGTGCACCATCTACTTTTTACATATTTAATTAACAAGATATATAAAAAAATTTATACTGCTAATTTTCGGTTATACACTACTGTATAGTTCTTTCATAAAGATTTACAGGAGCAATTTGGAAATTACTTTAAAAGTCTTAAAGAAAATATCAACTCTTTACAAAGATATTTAATGTGTTTGTCAATCCTATATTTGAGTTTTTGTGCCAGGTATAAATATGAGCTTATAAGATTTGAGGCAATCTAATTGGTTGTTATCAGATATTTTTGAAGGTTATGGATATATAGGCAAGCCACTTATGGATCTTTCAAAGAAAACCAAATTTAATTAGAATTAGAAAGTTGAGATAGCATTTAGAAAAACATATGGTCATAAGAACTCCGATTATGATACCACTAAATTTAAATCAACCCAAGAAAACTGGAGCAACATTATTATACATGGGAGACTCATACTTTACTTCACAAAATTGTCAATTATAAAATTAATTTCTTTCAGGTGTATGAAAAAGAGATGTTCAGTATCATATTTATAGTGGTTAAGTAGAGATATTATCTGTAAGACTCCTTACCATTACTAAAATTTTTCAACAAAGCATTAAACATTTGTTATAACAAAAGTTGTACACTTTCGTGCAAATAATTGGACTTGGCTCTAACGGGTAGTTTTACTAGCATAGGCAATAATAAAATTACTACATTAGTAAATGATTTCGAGAAGAGCACATCCATGTAGAAGAAACTCAACGAACTCTTGAAATAACATAAACTAACCAGAAAGACGAGGACAATAGACAAACAATTGAAGTTAATCTAGCTCTCAGATTAGTTCGGAGATGAGTTAAAACTGTGATACAATTCTGTAAATAGGTACTGAATAATGAAAAAAACTTCTATATAAAAAAAAAAAAAAAAGACTGAATATATTATACTATTTAATATAAAATAAAAAATAAAAATAAACTACTTAATGCTCTCTCAAAGACAGATATATTGCATGCATAAGTACTAACACTGATGATTTTGATAATTATCCTAAACACGAGCTAAGTGATTTTTATGATGGTGATGAAGTAATAGAAATGTTTGTTGAAAGACTCCATCAATCCTCGGACAAAGCCACATTCATACTTAACTAAAATGAGTGTTGAAGTACTAAGGAAGATTGATCATCAAGAAGCATTATGGATTTGGGATAGAGGCTATGAAAACTTGCCATGATGTGACTATAAATGGACATTTAGGCATGAAAGGAACTTATGATAGTGTGTTCCTTACCAGGTATCAAGCAGGCAGTTAAATTTGGTGAAGCAAATATGACGCCTACCAGCATTGTAAGGCAGATAAGGTTCCCTACCTATGATTACGTCAGCTCTTGGGTTATCCTCTAACAATCTTGAGCATATATCAACAAGGTTATCATATAATGACTTATAAAATCTAATAACAAAAACACCATTTAATAATGATAGATTGCTTTACAAAATATAAGCATTTCCCAACTCTATAGCAGCCTCCCACAGTGGCTAAAGTAATTACAACTTACTAGATAACATACATAGGTTTCATGATATGCGTTAAGCTAATTATGTGAAATAAACATACAATCTAGTAACTTAATATATTAGGATCTCATAAATACTAGTTACAATTAAGTATGACTTACCATCCTAAATAAGGTGAATAGAAAAAAAAGGCGACTCAATGTACGAAGAACTATCTTCAATGCATGATTATTAGTTATTACGAAACCTTATTTATAATATTAATGGTTAAATCTAGTCGAGTGATGGTATAACTCCACTCGTAATTTGAAGATCTTCATGTTCCCATTTCAAGCCCTCTTTCGTTACCTTACTCCCTATTTTACGATAACAAGGGAGATTCGATCAGTTGCAACCAATATGCCAAATTTCTCAATGAAAGGCTGGCTCTAGGTGAGATGCTCTCCTGGAAGAGCACAACAGAAGCAAACAAAAGAGGTCTTTAAAGGTTGAGGACTTTTTGTAGAGAGGATGGGTTAGGGATAGATACTAGTAACAGAACTCTACCTGAAGTTCTATGAACCTTTTCTTCTAGTTCAGAAAATTGGTAGAGCAGCCTATAAGCTTCAAGTGTCAATAAACATTGAGATTCATCAAGTTTTCCATGTATCACTCTGAGAGAAATGTGGGAGAGACTCTGACAAGCCTATAATGTAGGTCTTATTTAAATGGGTGAATCCATATTGAAGGATGTAATTATTTTTTTGAAGAGTAGTTTCCCCACCTAAACATTGAGAACAAGAAAGTCTCTCCAATTGAGGGACATGTCATAACTTGCTAAATGGATGAGAGTAATTGATCCAGGGAGCTTCGTTTTCCTTAAATTGTCTAATTGTAGCTTTCTTTTACTTGCCTTTGTTTTATTAGCAAAAATAATTATGGATCACTAGGCTTACCTTTTTACCACCATGATTATTGTTAGTATAGTGAGTTAGAGTGTTGGTTAGGTCTAGAATTCATTTTAAATGATTGAGGTACTTAGATGTGAATGATGTATAAGGCAATCCAATATATATATATATATATATATAATCTGAAGCCATCGCTAGTTGTTCCGCTTGGGAGACTGGAACATCGGCAACCTCATGCATCTTGATCCTATAATTATTACTCTATGCAAAACCAAAATTATGGAGTACTAACACAAAATAAAATAATATGAATTGGGGCATAAGAACTTGAGATCAATTTTCAGTCATATTCTGTATTGAAACTTTCTCATATTTTCACATCATAAAGGCATACAGTTGTAACACATCATAGTTGGTGTTTGCGTCGTATAATACAGTTCTCACTTGTAATACTTATTCACTGAATGTAGCATCTTCGTGGTTTGTGGAAACAAATACAACAGAAATATTTTTAGCAGGATCTATTTGGAACCGTTACCAATTACAAGGAAGAAGTTCATACTTGCAAGTCCAATTAGATCCATGATAATATCTCATAGGGTTGAAAACCGTGCATAAGATGATGATTTTGTTATCTTTTGCTGGCTTTCCAAATAAGGCACCATATACTTTCTCATATCACTTCTTGAGATTTGAAGATGATTCCCAGGTACACTTATAAATTTAACTTTTCCAGCTTCATCCAAGGTTTTCAAACCAATCCAATCTTCAATGTAAAGCTTGGTCTACAAGAAACATAAAAATAATGTGACTGCAATTTGATATGCAGAAAAGTCAGATTTTTCTAACATTTTGCCATTTCTAGGGACCTCTGGGATTATGCATGTGTTGTTCTGTCTTTGCATGATTATTCTGACATTTTGAAGTCATACCCCCTTTTGCATTAAAAAGAAATCAAACAGTTCCAAATGCAATATTTTCTCGTCCTACTTTAAATGAAATAAACAAAACAGGATACAAGTTTAGATGTGAAAATGAGGCATTAATTACAAGCTCAATGCTTTAAGATAGAGACAGGTGCAAAATAAAAAAGGTCTTTAGTACTCTCATTTGCCAACAGAAAGATCACATTCAACAACCATGATGCAGAAAACAAAATTATGTTCAGATCAGGTAAGATTAAGATTTATGCATGCAGAGTACCTGTTGTGCAGGCAACACGGTCTCAAAGGTCCCATCTGGATAGTACCCAAACCAGGAGGTTTCCTTAGGTATCAACACAGTGTCCTGCTCAAACTGATTAGCATGCAAAGGAAGATTATGATTACCAAGTTATAAGATCAGTTCAAGTTATATAATCGAAGAGGGCCTATAAGTGTATCAGAAACAAAGAGACTACCATTATAAGCACCAAATTTTCCAAGCCAGAAAACCTCTCCTTATATGTGGAATTAAACATATATTTGATCTCATTGTTGAGTTTTGGAAGGAACTTACAACCTTCCATATAGTCATTAATGTCCTAGAGAAGGAATGAAAACAAATATAAACATCAGCTAAGCAACAATAGCAGACATATATAAAACCTCGTGCAAATTCAAGGACAACTGGAACCAGAATAAATTGTATAACATGAAAATTGAAAATCCAAGTATCAAAAAGAGATCTATGTTAGATCAGCATCACTAAACCCAAGTATTATACTCACAGTTGGGATTTTGATATAACCGCTGGGAGCCAAGTGTTCCTGCAATTTCAGGTAGGAATGTAAAATGGCATCAAATATTAACATAGGAAAACAACTGAAAGAAGAGCGGGGCCGCTGAAAGATTTTAGAGAATGATATAAGAAGCGAGTATACAAGTCAAATACAGTAACTTCTGTCCTTTTTCATAATGCAGAAGTTGCTTTAGCCTTCACATATGATAGCGAGAGAATATAAAGAGTAGAGAAGAAGAGAAACACAAAAGAAGGGAGTTTAGGTTTCTATCTTGTTGAACAACTAAGATCATTGTCCACATAGAATGAACATAGTATTCATACCCTACCTAATGGTTCTCTTCAATTGTCTGCTGGCATCACAACAATCATTTTTTACAATTTTAACTCATTGACATATTGACTAATGTTGGCAAGGTGGACTCATTACAGAATTAATACTTTCCATGTATATTTTAGAAATGTAATAACTGTACATATTTTTATAATTATGTTTAAATATTTTTCCTTCTTAGAGTATTATTTCAACTAGGAATAACAGATTTTTAAGTATGTAAATTAGAATTATTTCTATTTAATGGAAAGCCAATGAAGGGCAAAAGTATTCAGCTCAAAAACGTGATATGGTATCAAAGTCTGAATCAGTATTTTTTTCCCAAGTGTTTTGATATTTTTCATCTGTTTTTTTCTTCTAAGTGCTTTGATAATTCAGATATCTTTGTGATCTTCATCTTAGAATCTTCAATATTTTTTTGTTCTCTTTCATTATTTCAAAAAGATGACTTCCGAAAAGATTATGTTTAAGTATTTCAATGTTCGATTCACCAGAAAAAATTACTCTGTCTAGAAATTTAAGTTTCAACTATTTGTGATGGGAAAATAATTATGGGGTCATATAGATGGAAGTGATCCAACTCCTACAGATCCTAAAAAGTTACTTCAGCGGAATGTCAAAGATGCTATGGTGATTACTTGGATTTTATGGTCAGTTAATCCTCTTATTGTACTTAATCTAAAATCATATAAGAATGCAAAATTCGTGGAATTTCCAAATGTGTACACTCAAAACAACAGTACAATGCACTTTTAGTTGGAGCATGACATTGCTAATTACTCTCAGGAAAGTCTCTCTATTCAATATTATTTTTCTGAATTTCAGAATTTATGGACTGAATTTACTGATATTGTTTATGCTGACATACCTGATGCATCTCTATCTATAATTCAAAAAGTTCATGAACAGAGTAAGTGAGATCAATTTTTAATGAAATTGTGGCCTGATTTTGAGAATATTCGCTCAAACTTGATGAATCGTGTTCCTTCTCCCTCCTTGGATGTTTGCTTTGGAGAACTACTTCGTGAAGACAACGTCTTTTCACCCAATCACTTTTCAGCAGACTATCAATCTTGCTTTTGCATGCAGGAAAAGGAAATGTA